GGGGCCTTTGAGCACTGAATATTCAGGGCCCTATAGTCCCCCTTACGTAGATAGAATATGGCTTTGGGTAGGTTATAATAAGATCCCCATATACCCCATATTCTATCTACTTAAGGGGGACTATAACTCTCAAGGAGCTCCATGAGCCTTCAGAGCGCCTCAGGGTTTAGGGTTTAGGGTTTGGGGTTTAGGGTTTAGGGTTTAGGGTTTAGGTCTTAGGGTTTCGGGTTTAGGGTTTAGGGCTTAGGGTTTAGGGTTTAGTGCTGGCATTGTGCAAGCTGATGCTGATCTCCGAAATTTCAGACGTCCAGATTGAGACAAGCAATCTAGTGCTCTGAAATGTCAGAAGCCTCGGATCTACCAAAGGTAGGGATACGGTTTGGGGATGCCCAGGAGAAGGATTATTCAGTTTGGGTGTCTAGATTGCGCCCGCACCCCCTTGTAGGGAAACTACTACTACTACTACTACTACTACTATTACTACTACTACTACTACTACGACGACTACTATTACGACTACTACTACTACTACTGCTACTACTGCTACTACTGCTACTACTACTACTACTACTAGTACTACGACGACTACTACTAAGATATGAATAACCCCTCAGGCTAGTATTCAGAGATAGGATCAATCGTGATACCTTGTAGATCTTGTAGCTTGTAGTTTGCGTGGCTCAGGCGGCATGATTTGGTGAGTACATCAAGTTTTGTGTCATGAGGAGGTCTTCGTATCGCTGCTGTTTTTGTGGCATTGTGTTGTGATGGCGCTTTGTCGGGGGCTTTTGTTTGTAATTCTCAGCGGGCGCCTGGCTCAGCATTCATCGCCGTCATGCTGCACCAAGTTAGGCCCAGTGCTCCTGACAGTCACTCCTTTGAAGCTTCCTTCATGCAATTGATATGGCACTGAATCTTCTCTCGCGCCGGTCTCTTGCCGCGTGAGGCCCTCCGACTTGAGATAGTTGTTTGCCATCGATGCATCGGTTGTAATGAGTCAAGCTGGCATTGGAAAGGTGCTGCGCTTTCATCCGCTTTGCATTATACAGACCACAGCTGGATGGCTCCGGGCTCAGAGGGCAGAGGACAAGCTTGGAGTTGTCCAGTGCTTTGTCGTAGGCACAGAGCAAGAGATTTTGCCGTGTGTTCTAGATAGGGTAGTTTCCAACAATTAGCGAATCCCTTTTTGGGGGTCCCTGTAATAAGGATTGTGGAATCTTGGCTCATATATCAGGGAGGACCGCATTGTTTGGAAACTCCGATTTGTTCTTCTGCATTCTCTTGAGGCTTGCACGGCATGTCCTGTATGGAGGGCCTAAAGCAACTGTCAGGATGTGTTTGCCTTGAAGATTCTTGACTGCTCCGGAACTAGATGTGCTTCGTGGGAAGCTCTGAAATCAGTCTCACCGTCTCTTGCTGGGTTGGGAGACATGTGAACGGCGTCGGAGGACGATTTCTCATCACTGCCACGATTGGATTGCACAGTTTTTTTGTTGCAAGCAACTTCTGTTTCTTCGGAGAGGCGCATTTGCACTGTTCAACTTTTGATTGACATGTCAAGCATGGAGGCGTTTCTTCCTGCCCGACGTTCCTTTCATGTCTTGAAGGGCGAGGCCCAACTTTCGTGCAGTGTGCTTGCAACTCAAGTCTCGGCGTCGGTTAGATGAGTGATGCCACCTGGGGATGCCGTGACGCTGTGAAGTTGGCCTTTGAGGGAGCATAGTGGCATGACACGACTTGCTTCAACTTTCATACCGCAAGTTAACGTGTTTCTAGCAAGCTCCGGGCCAAGCAAGTAGTAGTAAGGGGAAAGCTTGAAGCTGTGGCCCATGGCAACACCGGTGTTCGTGCGGTACGACAACAGCTGGGGCGAGATCGTGGACGTCGAGGAGTTCGAGGTGGCGAGGGCCATCCTCGCGGGCGACACGCAGCGGCTCAGCCAGCCGATAGAGTCGAAGTACCTCTTCGAGCTTTGCATCGCCTTCGGCCATCAGAGCACGGCGGCCGCTCTGCTGAACCATGGGGTCCCCGGCTGCAGGGTGGAGGTTTGGCACCTGAGGCCGTTCGCTGGCAAAATTTCAGCTGCAAGATGCTGCGGAAGCACGTGGGAGACCTGCGACTTCTGCTGTTGGGGCTCGGAAATGGAAGATGGCGTGTGGATGACAGACTGGAACGCCAAGCTCACGGATGCGGTCGCGTCGGCCGGGCGGCCCGTGGCCAGCGCAGTGCTCGGTGCCTTGCGCTCGGGTGCGGACTTCCGCAGCCTCGACGTCTCGGAGGCGGCCATGGCGCGGCTGCTGGACTTGGCCGTCCTCACGGGGGACGCGGACTTGGCGCAGCAGTGCACGCAGCGCTGCGCGCGGAGGCCCCTGAGGCGGTGCTGCTCCGAGGACCTCTTTACAGGCAGAATTGGGGGGTCCATATCTGCCGTGGCGCCAGATGCCATGGCGGCCGCCATCCTTTCGGGCGTGACCTTGCAGGGGCTCAGCTTGAAACATGGCTATTCTGTTCCTGGTGCTGGATTGGTTTTGGTTTCCATTCCTTTGCGAGAAGCCATTGCTTTGTGTGGCGACCTGCAGCTCTGGCAGCGCTTGAGCCCGTTGCTGCCAGAAGGCTCAAGACCCTAGATCCCCAACGGGCCTAGTTCGGCGTTGCTATTCAGCATGTTTGGTGGGCTGTGCCTGGAGCGGCTCAGAACGGCCTCGCTGGCCAATCTGACGCTCTCCGAGTATGAGTTTACCCTTTATCCGACTTCCGTGGTGGGTCTTGCCTGTCATGCATGCGGCGAAAGTGTAGAAAGGCCTGCAGCTGTAGGAACGTCTCCATATGTTCGGCCTCGCCTTCTGGACATGGCTGTCTACTATGGACAGTCGGCGTGCGCAGAGCTGCTGGCATCCTGCGCGGCCACCTCTGCCACGGAGTGGACGCGCAAAGCATGCTTGCCAGACAAACAGTGTGATTGCTGCGGAGAAGTTGCTGTGGGGGAAGCTTTGTTTGCAGTCGACGCCTCGTCTCTGGGTGAGCGCCGCGTTGCAGCCGGGGCCGCTCTGCGCGCAGCTCTCACCCGAGCCCAGCAGCTGGCTGCTCCGATGGGGCTGGGCATCTATAGGCCATGCTTGCCTGGGGCCGTGGGAAGAAATTGCCGAAGGCCTTGGTGAACATCGTCCTCTCCTTCGCTGCTGAAAGGACCCAGATTGCTTGCGTGCTGGACGGGCTCGAGGAGGAGCTCTTGCAGGCGGCAAGCTTGGTCCAAGAGCATAAGCATGAGAAGCCCGCTGAAGCGGCACAGGCACCAGAGACAGCTGAAGCAAGGGCAGCCCTCGAAGTCCAGACGGAACGCGAGGATGCAGAGCATGCAAAGTCCACTGACGACTTGCTGACGGCGGTGCGCAACAGTAGAGACGAAAGTGTGCCGTTGAGCTCCGATGGCGTGATCTGCTTCCGGCTGACGCGGAAGGCCAACGCTCCCCACGTCAACGAGCTACTCTTCGACGCGACTGGGCCCTTAGCCGAGCTGCACCGGCGCGTGTTGGATGCCGGCTGCGAGGTGGTCCCTGAGTGGTCGCCCGTGAAGGCCCTCTTCGTGCCACTGACGCAGGCGCAGCTGCTGGAGCTGATTGATGATGGTTGCTTCACCTGCACGTTTACAAGTCGGAACTATTTACCTTGTCACGTGTTAGGTGCAAGGTGAAACGATCACGCAGAAATACCTTATTCTGCTGCAGGGTGATCACTGCCTTACCAGCTTTGTCCAATATGGTTCTTTAGTCTCGGCGCAGGTGGGGGATTCCAGGATTCCATGTGAGGACTCTAGTGACCAGTGCAGAACATCAGCTGTGAAGCAAGGATCCCTGCCAGCTAAGGCAATCCGAGATCTCTGGAGCTGGGTAAGGAGCACATCTTGGCCTTGCAGAGCGATGGCACCGTGTTGGACCGAGCTATCCGCAGCCTGAGCAAGAAGTACCGTCCGCGCCTCCGGCCCACAGTTCGCACAGAGGGCGAGGAGGAGGAGGATGAGGATGAGGCCGTGATCCAGGTGGAGGGTGGTCTGCGCACGGACTCCAGCGTGGGTTTCCCGACCTATGAGGCTTGAGCTTGTGTAGTGCATTGCATGGGCCGGTGGGGGTCTAAACCGTCTTGGGACAGCGCGGGAAGCTAAGCGTGCAAGATGAAGCCGACTATATAGGTCACATGCAGCCCCAGCTAAATAAGAAAACTGCCTTGCTCTTGCCACCGGGCTGGAATCTTACAGCGCCGTCTGTGACACTGCCACGTTTTGCTTGAGTGCCAGGGTCTTGTTAGCCTTGGCAGTTGGCAGATGGCTGGGCCAGGCGCGCTCGTCTCAAGTTTTGTAAGTCTGATTGCACGCCTCTTGTACAGCCCTCAAAATTGCTTTCAGCGACTGTGCAGCAAAGCTGTGAAAGCTGGCTAGTCTTGGTAACGTAGCCTAAGGCCTTTCATGCAGAGCCTTCAGAGCGGATATCTCAAGAAACATACAACTCATTAGAATTCCCACCCAAAAATGACAGCATGAAGGGGCCTCAGGCTTTGCCCTCAGGAGCCTCTGCGTCAGGGTCCTGTTAGCCTTGGCCGGAAGCTTCTGTGGAGCTAAGTCTCGGAAGCCGCACGCCCTGAACAAAATGCCAGGCCTGCAGTTGCAGAGAAGGAAAGCCTTGCGCATGGCAGTTTGAGGCTCCACTCTGAAAAGAAGTCATAAACTCTACACCCTAGCCCTAAATAGCAATTTCCATTGCCATACCCTATATATCCCTATATAACCCCAATAGATAACCCCCAAGGTTATTTGAACTTGTGAGTCCTTGGAGGTGATGATCCCGGAAGGCCTTGCGGCCGGCGGCCGAGGTGGGGGTGGCAGAAGGGTCTGCTGCGTCGAGTGCCGCATTGGGGCTACTAGGGTTTAGGGCTTAGGGTTTAGGGCTTAGGGCTTAGGTAAGTGATGAGGATTTTCTGTCACAAAGTTGAGGAGGCCCTTGTATGTTTTGCAGGGCTGCAAGGTTTGGCCCTTGGAGCAGGAAAGCCGTGCACCAAAAAAGTGCTAAATTTTGCACACTTTGGAATAGGATGAAATAGGATTGGGGACAAGCGCCTCCGGATTTGTTCTTCATGTTGGGATGCCGACTGGCTTAAAGGATACAGGGATATCCAGAGATTAGGGTTTGGGGTTGATAGGATTGAGGGGTTGGTACCCTACTGGAGATTCAGGCTGCCTTCAGGCAGAAGGGTGGGGCTGAAAGGTAGGAGGGGATGGAATGCTTGATGTTGCTTTGATAGGTTAAGGAGAACTTGCATGGTTCAGATGGGTGACGCGGCCTGACACAGGAGAAGCCTAATCTTGGAAATTGTGGCGGACGGCTTCATGCGAGGAGGTCGCGAGTGAAGGCGCGCATCTCTGAGAGAGCCATGAATGAATTCCCATGGTCATTTCCTACTCATGATTCCCATCTTTGCAAGTCCATTTTCCAGTGAGCTCAAGGTAGAGGACAGGAACACCATCACAACAACTGCTACGAAGTGATCAAGCAGCAACAAAAGCCATCAAGATAGAGAAGCCAGTTACTTAACGTGACAATGATGATGGGAATAGCATTCTTAGTCTTAACCACTGATGGTGATGGTGATTTTGGCAATGGTGCTGATGAGTATGACCGTCTGAGCACGTGCATGCAGGAAGTGTGGGAAGATCCCCTGGTAAGTTTCAAGGCGCTTGGAGCCTGGCTTCATGCTTGAGGGAGGGTTCTGCACCTAGAGATCCAGTGCGGGGTTTACTTGCTTGTGAACAGTTGCTTCTGAATCTTTGGACGGCACATAAGAACACCAGCAACGTAGCACACAGAAGATTGTTTGGACCCTGTCGTTTCCCTCTACTTAGAGCTGAGAATGCCCTTGTGATTGCCTGCTTTTTTAAGGTATGTGTTGCACCACAGCATGTGGTTGTCCTCTCGTGACATCTCAGAATCGGTGGCGAACCATTCGATATATAATTCATAATGATGAATAGTGGTTGTGGTTCAGGGTTTAGGGCTTCTGGTTTTGGGCCCAGTGTTGAGCGTGATGCTCATCTTGATCATGCAGATGGTAGTGTCGGGAAATCCCCTGATGCAGAACCTTCCAGGTGATGCTGATGCGAGCATGGCGTGGTATTGAGTTGCCCGGCAACCACAAGGCCAGGAGGGAAGGAGGGAATTAGGGTTTGGGGTTTAGGGTAGGGTTGAGTTACTGGGTTGCTGTTCAGGACTGAATTTAGTAATGGGGGTTAGGCTAGATTAGGTTGTTTCAGGGTTTAGGGTAGATGTTGGGCTTGCGCATGACCGTATGATGGTTGGGGGTCGCGGCGTGTAGGGACGACATGGGGTAGCAGTTGGCAGGAACTCGTGTCACGAGGGTCAGTATTTAGCAAGGAAGAGATTAAGAAGAGGTAGAGATAGCACAGTTTGCAGGGAGATTTCTGCGAAATGCTTGAAAGGTCTGGGGGACTGTGTAACCACAGTTATCCCCATTATTCATCGCACTAAGTCCCCCTGACTCCTTCAAGTGACCTCTGTCTCAAAGTGAAAGTGAGATCACCCCAAACCCCAAATCGTAAAGCCTATGAACTGGGACCAGGCAAGCATGGTATGATGCAATCCAGCCAGTTATCTGGAGGATCCTGGAATTACAGGTGGGGCATATACTGTAGGGTCCTAAAGAATTGCTAGAATACTATGGTTTGAGATTTCTCGTAAAGTTACTGTATGGGGTATCTCGAATCGAATGGACCTCAAGATGATGTTCATCATCAGGGGAGGGGCACTCTCCAATGTTCCATGCTCAGCTGTATGTGGCGTTTTGGTTGTCAGTGTTCTCACGCGTTTCCCCGCATTTGTCTGATGCTTGCTTAGGTAGTTTCTTCTTGTTTTTCAAGGTTCTTGCTCACTTCTGTTCGCTCCCCACATGTTCATCGCACCCTTTCCAACCTGTCCAACAGACAGCGCTGGAACTCGTAGTCACGTGACTCACTTCTAAGAGGTGACGATATAAGTTCCCCAAGCTGGGTGAATCTGATGAACCCCTAGTCTCGAACTCAAGGCCTTAAGGTAGAAATCTGACGAAGTACGCAAAATCTGTCATGACCCTCTCCTATGTGACTTTACCACGATATACGCCCAAACCTGATCCCCAGTCTGAAGCTCAAAGCCCTGCGCCGCAAGAATCCTGCAGTGCTTAAACCCACCTGAGCCATAGTCTAAACTCCTGAAAGGAGGATTTATAGTAATTATAGAGGATTATTTAGGGGAGTATTATAGGGGTTAATAAGGGGCATACTAGGAGTTTGGATTACGGCTCACCTGGAACCCGAGAGAATTTGACGCATTCAGCTGAAAACCCAATCTCATCTTGGTTGGCGTGGGGCATCCTGGGATCAACATATTGCGGTCGCAGAGGACTCTATAGCTTTGTCTATTGCTGGGAGTATGTTTGATTGTGTAGGCTTTGTAGATTTTTTGTGTACACAATTCATGGTGGGGATGTTGGGACGTATGTAGCTCACACAGTTTCATCGAAATCATCCCCAAGTTGTGAAAGGTGTAAGGTCCGTGGTGTAGGGCTTTGGGAGGGGGTTCTGAAGCTCTAAGCGCCGTAAACCCTAAACGGCTAAAACGCGAAACTCAAAGCCCAAAACTGCGCCAAGGTCCTTGATGGTCCTGAGGCAGGGCGCAGAAAAGTCAGTGGATCTCTTGCATGGTGTGGAATAGTGATCATTCTGGGGGACCATTTGGGGACTAGTATGGGGTGTTTAGGATTCAGGCAGTTAAGGGTCATTTCCTCATTCCTCAATGATCTCAGTTGTGGGCTTTGGGTTCTCGGTGGAAGCAGCATCTGATCTTTCGGATCTCATTCGCAGCGCAACTTCTCGGGAGCTGACACTTTTTGTCTGAAAGGCAGCCTTCCTGAAAGGATGAGACGCGTGGCCCAAAGTTGGATTTGATGGAGCTACCTTGTAGGATGCGTGGTTTGCGTAAGGTAAGCAGGATAAATTCGTGACTACCCTCTCCCAAAAGTAACATGGAAACCTGCAAAGGGCCCTACAAAGACTGCCATGCTTCTCAAGGAGGCTGCATGGGATCCCATGTTTGGGGGAAGGTACATCCTTACAAACCCAAGACATTTCCTTCCTCTTAGGCCATCCGTGGAACCGAACTTCAAACCACCTGTACCCAAAACAAAACTCTGAATTGGAAGCCCCAATCAAAACCCCTCAACCCTGAATCTAAACATCAGCACTCTGAAGTTCTTGAAGCATAAGCCCTAGATCCAGACCCCTGTTCCCCCTAAACCTTAAACATCAAAGCCCCGCAGACCCCAAAAACCCTCCATCTCGAATCATCAGCCTAAACACTCAGACCCCAATCCCATTTCTATATCTGTTCATGAGCCCTGTGCGTTTGATCCTATGCTTTCGTTTGGCCTTGCAACCCTAAATCCTAAACGCTAAAGCATCCTAAACCCTAAACTCTAAACCCCAAACCCTAAACCCTAAACCCTAAATCCTTAACCCTAAACCCTCAACCCTTAACCCTAAAAGCTTAACCCTAAACCCTAAACCCTAAACCCTAAACCAGGCTTTGCCTGCAAAGAGGACGCAATTGGCTCAGAAGATGCCAGGGCTGCTCAGCGGCGAAGGTGGGGTTCATAAACCTTGGGGTTATATAGGGTTTGGGTAGGGTTTAGATAGGGTTTATATAGGGTTTAGATAGGGTTTAGATAGGGTTTAGATAGGTTTTAGATAGGGTTTAGATAGGGTTGATAATGGGGTATAGGGTTATATAATGGGGTTATATTGGGATAATGGAAAAGAAAATGGTAACTACTAGATTATAGGGTTATATAGTGATTATCTTCTCAAAAGGTTAAGGGTTGGAGGGTTTTAGGTTCAGGCATTTCGGGGGGTTTGGGGTTGGAGGGTTCTGGGCTTCAGAGTTTGAAGGGTTGGAGGGGGTTCGAGGGGTTAAAGGCTGGGAGGAATCTGCGTCATATACTGCAGCATGATATATATGTATGGATGCTCAATTTCAAAAGCTCCCTACTCGAATGACCTGACAATATGCCCATAGGTGCCTTATGCCTGAGATAGGATGGTACAAGCAGCTGTTCAAGAACTGTTCGGAAGCAACTGGGAGCAAAAGAACGATAGCTTTTGGCGGATGCAAACGGGGGAGTTCATTGCGAGAGAAATAGAGTTGGTCAGGGCTTGAGGCATTTCTATACCTTTTTTCCAGGCTGATCTTTTTGGTATATCTAGACATTGGAATTCCCGCAAGAGGCCCCAGTGACGCCACCACATATGCACAGCTTTCAAAGCTTGTTGCTGGATCCTCTGCAAGTAAATCCGTTGTCTCTCTAGGAGGCTTCGAAGTCCTGAACCTGCAATCTTCAATTCGAAGTCTGCTCCCGGAGACCGGCGTGCAGGTAAGCCAGCCCTCTGGGAAGAAAGTCGGGTCAGAAGAGTCACCGAATCCTTGGATCAGTGTAGCTACAGCAGGTTTAAAAAGCATGGAGCTCTTTTCAGTAGGGAGTGCATCTTACGAAAACAAATACGAGATGCATAAAGTCTATGTTCACCTTTCTCGTTCAGGCTCCTCGCTACATCTGGGGACGTTGAAGGGATCTAGATTTTGGAGGGCAGCCCGCCCAGAAGCAGATCCCTTGATGTATTTCGGGGACCCGTACCGTACTGCCCAAGCATGTTTCTGAGCTAAACAACTTTCGGAGGTGACCCTACCTGAACCCCAAAAGTATGTAAAATAATGGCCTTTATGGCTATTATTAGGTGTCTAGGGCTATTATTTTACATACTTTTGGGGTTTAGGTAAAAGACATTGCCCCCTCATCGACGAGAGCCGCCAGCCCAGATCTGGGGAGGTGAGTCTGCTGCGGGTGCCGCACGTAATGGGGGGTTCTGATTTGTAACCCCATTTATACTATTCCGTTCAGGCCTGATTTAGCTTTAATACGATCCTCTTTACTAATCCGAAGTTAACATTAGATTAGGGTGTTACAGGTCGAAGCTAAGAAGGTCCATGGGCTCCCCCAAATCAATTTTCGGTGCAGGATTGTCGGTGTTTGCGATGGCAGAGGCTCCAAGGGTGGATTCAGAATTTTTGACATAGACCCTCACCCCTAAACCCTTTATACCCGTATATATATCCCCTTTAAAGGGACCTAATTATTGGGTACATACCCAAATATTACATGGACCCTTAGGGCTTGATTCAACTCTAGCGCAAGAAGAAGTTCGGGTTCATGCAAATGAGGATATAATGGAAACTACTATATAATATACTGGGGTTATATTGGGGTTATAATGGGAAAATGGAAAAGAACATGGAAACTACTATTTAGGGTTTAGGGTTTAGGGTTTGGTTCATGCAAATGGAGGACAGGAAGTGCCCTTTCCCATAATTGCCCTAACCCATTAAACCCTAAAACCCATTAAACCCTAAAGCGCTAAACCCTAAAACCCTAAACCCTTGGACCCTGGGCCCTTGGACCCTGCCGTAAAGCCGTAAAACCCTAAACCCATTAAACCCTAAACCCATTAAACCCTAAACCCTAAAACCCTAAAACCCTAAACCCCTAAACCCTAAACCCTAAATGTGGGAAAATCTGCTCACTCCTCCTTCTTATTGGTGTGATATTTCTTTTGGAGGGATGTGTTGGCCCACGGTCCAACAGCAAGATTCTCTGCAAACACTGCCAGTGCAGGTTTAGGGTTTGGTGCATTAGGGTTCAGGGTTTAGGGCTTCAAACGCTGCAAGTGCAACAGCACTTTCTAAACATCCTGAGCCACAAGCATTCCAGAGGCATCCATCCATTACCACCGCTTGAGCTCCGCATCATCGTGGCCATGGAGGCAGCTTGATGATGGATGTATCGGTCATTGGAGTTGTTTTTGACATTACTCTGAACTTGATGCTATTCATTCTTTTGTTGTGGTACCGCAGGGGCCATGCTGGCTGATTTGGCGTAGAATTTTTTTGGGCAGCTTCTGGGTGCTGAGCGGCTTCTGCCAGCGAAGCGGTTTGGCACCTAGCTGCAACCTGTGTAACCAATAAAGTTATCATTCGGTCATTGGGGTGTCTTTTGCTCTTTCAAGATACTGGAAGTTGGAATTATGCTTGCTGCAGTTGGTTTGGGTGCGACTAAACTGTTGACATGCTCGAGGGTGGCTTGCAGCTTTTGCCCTGCACCTATGGCGGCTCCTGCGTTCGTACGCTACAACAGAGATGGCAAGATTGTGGACATTGATGAGTTCCAGGTGGCAATCGCCATCCTTGCTGGCGATACGCAGGCACTAAGCCGCGAGGCCCAGTCGCGGCACCTCTTCGAGCTCTGCATGGCCTTTGGCCGCCAAAGCACGGCGGCTGCTCTGCTTACGCATGGGGTGCCAGGCTGCAGGCTTGAGGTTTGGCACTTAGGACCTTACGCTGGCAAAGCCGACTCCCAAGCGATAGATGTCAGCTGCATGTGCGGAAGCTCCTGGCGGACCTGTTATTTTTGTTGTTGGGGATGGGCTGAGTATAGTGGCGAATATATGGTGGATTGGGGTGCCGAGCTCGCTGATGCAATTGCATGCGCCCACGAAGCGGTGGAGCAGCCCGTGGCCCACGCGGTGCTCCCCGCGCTGCGTTCGGGCGAGCCCCTCGACAACCTTGTTGTCTCAGCGGAGGCCATGGCACGGCTGCTGGACATGGCTATCCTTACAGGCGACGTGGACTTGGCTCAGAAGTGCGCCCAGTCCTGTGCGCTGAGGCCCCTGCGCCGCTGGCGTTCGCAGGACCTCTTCCCAGTAGACCAGTCGCGCCCTATGATTGCTTTAGAACCGGCCGTCATGACAGCTGCCATCCTGTCAGGCATGCGCTTGCAGAGGCTCAACATCGGAATGCTGGACTGGTGGGGCGAGCTGGACGAATGCATCGTGCCCTTGCGGGAAGCCACTGCCCTGTGTGGCGACATGCATCTCTGGCAGAGTCTGGCCCGAAAGCTGCCGGCAGCACGGAAACCGTGGATTCCAAGATTGCTGGACTCGGGGCTGCTGTTGTGCACTCCTGGGGAGCCGCATTTTTGGAACTGGGAGCTTTGCATGAACCGGCTCAAAACTACTGCGCTAGCAAACATGGCACTTGGGCAGTTTGTCATTGATGATCCGTATGGGTACTTCCGGCATCGCTGCCGCGCATGCGGTGCAGAGGTACTGAGTTTTACTCCTGAAAATGCTCACTCTGATCGTTATTCCTTGCTTGACATCGCTGTGTCTGGTGGGCAGTCAGCCTGCGCGGAACTGCTGGCATCCAGGGGCGCTGCCTATGCCTTAAAGAAGTGGACACGCCAGGCATGCTTGCCAGACAAGCGGTGCGACCGCTGTGGAGAGGTTGCACTGGCCGCGGTGGCCAATGCGCCGCTGCCAGAGCCCGGCACCTGGCTGCTTCGATGGGACTGGGAATGTATCAAGCGCTGCTCGCCTGGGGCCATGGGAAGAAGGTGCCGAAGGCCTTGGTACCCATCATCATCTCATTTGCTGCGCAGAGGCCTCAGATCGCTTGCGTGCTAGAGGGGCTCGAGGAGGAGCTCTTGCAGTCGGCGCGTAATGTCCAAGAGCAGTCGGCAAGCCCAGTTCAAGAGCAGGAGGAGGAGAGGGCGGTAGACGTGGGACAGGCCCAGCCATCAGAACCTGCTGAAGCGCAGGTCGCGCAGGCAGCCCCTGATGTGGAGACGGAAGGCCAGGATGCAGAGCATATGAAGCCCACCGACGACTTGCTGACAGCCGTTCGCAACAGCAGAGATGAAACGGTGCCTTTGAGCTCCGATGGCGTGCTCTGCTTCCGACTCACGCGCAAGGCCAACGCTCCACACGTCAACGAGCTGCTCTTCAACATTGAGGGCCCTTTGGCTGAGCTGCACCGGCGCGTGCTGGAAGCAGGCTGCGAGGTGGCCCCGGAGTGGTCGCCCGTGAAGGCCCTCTTCGTGCCACTGACGCAGGCGCAGCTCCTGGAGCTGACCGCAGACGGACGCTTTGCTTGAATTGCATTTTGTTGCTGTAGTTGCTTGTTAAGCGTGCTTGTACAAAGCTTCCATGGCGACCGTTTAAACTCAGGCAATCCGGGTAATGTGGAGCTGGGCAAGGAGCACATCTTAGCCTTGCAGTCGGACGCCCCTTTGCTAAGGCAGGCCATCCGCAGCCTCAGGAAGAAGAACCGCCCCCGCCTTCGTCCTTCAGTCCATGGGGATGACGATGAGGAGGACGAGGATGAGGCCGTGATCGAGGTGGAGGTGTCGGGGCTGCGCACGGACTCTAGCGTGGGCTTTCCCACCTATGAGGCGTGATGTACAGTAGCGACCTTTTCTGCCTCCTCCTCCCTGTGACTTTGAAATCCGCGCAAGAATTGCATGCGCCGGTGGGGCTAGAGCTACTGGTTACTTGCGCAGGGTATGCGCGCGAGACAGTTTTAACAAACTATGGGCCAAATCATGTTACAACGCTGCATCGTGGGCTGCGCTAGAGAACGTGCAGCTGTGCTTAGCCCCATCTGCCTGAATCCGACACTGTGGCCTTCTACACTTTCTTTGACTGCCAGGGTCTTGTTCGCCTTGGCGTCAGGCAAAAGCTGGTAGGGCCATGGTGTTGTTTTATTTCATGACAGCCGAGGATGCACCCCTGTACAGGTAAATGTAGTTATTTTCATAGTGAAGCCGAGGAAGCAGGCTTGGTTCACGAAGCCTTTCCTACTTCTCTGGGACTCCCAGCGTCTTTCTCAATGCCATGTGCCAGGGTCTTGTTCGCCTTGTCGCCATGCTGCAGGGAGCAGAGCCTGGGAAGCGGCTTCCAGTGTCAAAAACCGTGGTGACTTCATCCGGGCTGTACCTTTGGCATTCTTGCTGGGATCGTCATGTCATCCGAAGGACAGGGCACTAGGGAGTTTGGAGGCTGCGCTCACGTTCAAGATGCTAGGCCGCGCGGCCTCAAGGCTTGGAAACGGAGAATCCTTGTCATGAGGGTAGATGCAGGTAAATGCAGCCTTAATCTTTCCTTTGCAAGGCTGTTCCCTGACTACAAGCTCCGAGAGGTTTCAACTGTACTTGTAGTCTACGGACCAAGCAGTCGCCCTTTCACAGTTTTGTAGGATGCCTGGGAGCTTGAGCTTGAATCATTGATGCAAGCTGCTAGCTAGGGAGCTGCTTCTCCCAGGTGAACACCCGTTGCAATCCGCTTTTCATGGGGCATCTGAAGTCAAAAGTACAGCACATGATGTTTCATCTGCAGCTCAAATGCCCAGAGCCTCCACACTCAACATACACAGATGATAGTTTCCAGAAATGAGCGGGATCTCAACATAGACCCCAAAATACTCTAAGCCTTGTTATGGGGGCCCCCCAAATGGTACCCCTGACTTTGGGAAAACCCCAAACACAGAATCCTGGAGGTCATGGTGATGCCAGCAGGGCTTACTTCTGAATTCCCGCGCGGCCACAAGGCCAGGAGGGAAGAAGGGAGTTACTGGGTTGCTGTGAAGGAACTGAATTTAAGTTACCCTAGTGCGGGCCTATGGTAGAAAAGGGGGTGTCCTTATGATAGTAATTCAACAATGTTCCTTAACAGAGGGGTTAGTGAATTGTTTTGGGCTTGCGCGTGATATCGTAGGATGGCTCAGGGCTTCAGCGTTAGGGAAGTCATGGGCTAGCAGACGGGAGTGCTCATGTGTTAGTAACTGACAGGGCAGAGTGCAAGTTGTAGCGGGGTAGTAGAGAATGCACACTCTGCATGCCGATCGTTGTAGAATGGGCTTGTCTCAAAGCCTCAAAGCTGAGTAGGATTTGGACATCCCAAGTAGGACCATAGAATCATGATGTGAAGGAAACTAGGTACTTGGCGGTTGATGAGAGCAGGCGCACATGCCTTCAGTACTGCCCCCACCCAGTAACAATTACATAATGTGACATGACATGTATACTACAACAGTATAGCCCCAAATATGCTTACCCTTAGTCGTGGGTGGGTGCAGTGCCAAACACATACCTAGCTACTGGTAGGAGCACTCCGCCATGTCCGATGCGCGGTCCGCTCAACCATTCTGATGCAGTGCTTCTTCCTTCGCCTCCGCAATTGTCCCACTAGTTTCGTCGGCGTTCAGTGTTTTGATTCTTGGCCCCATGTTGTTGCTCATATATGGCTTTGTGCGCTCGACAACACGAAACACGGGAACTCGTAGTCACATGACTTTTTATAGAGGTGTTGGCGATCTAGCTATCATGCAGCCGCCCAAGGTGGCTACGCGCTGAAGCTCAACCTGGACCCCAAAAGTATGTAAAATAATGGTCTTTATGGTTATTATTAGGGGTTTAGGGCTATTATTTACATACTTTTGGGGTTTAGGAAGCCCTGAACTCAACTCCCACACCTCCCATGGACGTGGCTCCAGGTGCGGCAACGTCTTTGCAGGTCCTGAGGCGCGGCCAAGAAAAGTTGATGGAGCTGTTGCCGTGGGCCATTGGTACAGTTTTGAGGGTGAAGTTTTCTTCCTGGCTACTCTAGTGAAGGAATGCACTATGGGGATCCTTCTTGGGGATTACGCTGGGCTACTATAGGGATCGAGTCCCAGCCAGCTTTGGACTTCAGGCCTCTCGGATCTGGGGCTCTGTTGCTTTGTGTGTTTGGGACAGGTCTTTGAGCACCTGAACTTATGGATCTCCATATTTGGGATTTATAAAGGGACTCTACTGGGAACCCCAAATACGGAACCCCAAGAGTTTAGCAGGAATAGAATGGAATATAAGGACCCTGGTAGGTATATTCCTATTATGTACCTACTATATTCTTGGCGTTCCCGGTTTGGGGTTCCCAGTAGTGCCCCTTTAGTTTACCGTCATCTTTTGGAGACATGCAAGCCGGCTTCCTGAAAGGATGACTCGTGCGGCCACTTGTGGCCCCAAGCTTGACTTCATGGTGCCACCTCGTAAAATGCTGAGTCTACCAATTATCGCTGACGTAAAGGGCCAGCGAGTTCTACACCGTGAGCCCAAAAGCCCCATACCCGGCACCCCAAACCCTAAGCTCTTTGTGCCCTAAAACCCCAAACCCTCAGCCGGAAGCCCTATGCCCTGAATCCCAGACCCCAAGCCCAAAGCCCTATGACCAAGATGCCAAACCCTATCCACCCCCTTGGCGGCAACCAGGCTTTGCAAAGAGGACGCAGGGCCTGGAAGATGCCAGCTGCTCAGGCGGGCAGCCTCGAAGGTTGAGGGCTGGAGGGCTTGGGGTTTAGGGTTAGGATGAGGGTTTAGTAATTTAGGGCGCAGGGTTTATGGTATAAGGGTTTAGTAATTCAGGGTTCAGGGTTTGCGGTATTAGGGCTTTGAAATTCAGAGTTCAGGGTTTACGGTATAAGGGTTTAGTAATTTGGGGTTCAGGGTTTACGGTATAAGGGTTTAGAAATTCAGGGTTCAGGGTTTAATTACGGTGTAAGGGCTTAGTAATTTAGGGTTCAGGGTTTACGGTATAAGGGTTTAGTAGTTTGGTTCAGGGTATAGGGTTTGGGGTTTAATTCGGGCTGGGAGCACTAGCTTCATGAGCAACACCAACAAGCCTAGGTAACGACAAACCTTGTTTGCACAGATAAGTTCCGTAACATCCGGGCAAGATCATTAGTACGGCGAGGGGATTGCACATAGTATTCACACCAGCAACGTGAGCAATGACAATGGCAAGAAGGTCAGACGAACACAGTCAAGTGGTGACAAGAGTGCTGAGAGCCAACAGCAGGTGAAATGTAGGGAGCAGACATTGAAGCAACTGTATCAGCATGTGCAGGGATTTCGTTTGCCTTACAGCTCTTAACCCCAAGCCCTCAACCCCATGTATCAACATCCAGACGCCTAGATTTACATGCTCTCAAAACTGAGGATGTGCCGTGGGGAACGCGTGAAATCAGTATCGTTGTTGCCGGGGTGGGGCACCAGCGAATATCTCTGACGAAGACTTTCTCATCACCACCGGCGTTGAATTTTATAGGTTCTCTGTGTGCCGAAGAGCTTCGTGAGCAATATATGTTTGCCCCCTTACATTTCTGGTGTAGTTGGCATGCAAGCAGGTTGGCTCGCCTTCTTGCTCCTCGAAGTTGCTCTCATGGCGCGTCATTTGAGGCCCAGCTCTCATAGGCGCTTGCACTTGACGTATAGGTTGGATAAAACAATATAAGGCGCTGCCTGGTAATGCCGTGATTCCCTGGCGTTGGCGTTTGAGAGCACAGAGCCTGAATTGCTCCGACTTGCATGATGCAACGTAGCACTGCGCATGTAGCAAGCTCTAGGCTCAGCAAGTAGTAGGGGGAAAGCTTGAAGCTCTGGCTCATGGCAGCACCGGTGCTCGTGCGGTACGACAGTCAGGGCGAGATCGTGGACGTCGAGGAGTTCGAGGTGGCGAGGGCCATCCTCGCGGGCCACACCCAACGGCTCAGCCAGCAAGTCCAGTCGAAGCACCTCTTCGAGATTTGCATCGCCTTCGGCCATCAGAGCACGGCGGCCGCCCTGCTCACGCACGGGGTCCCCGGCTGCAGGGTAGAGCTTTGTCACTTGGGGCCGTTCGCTGGCAAAGCAAGGCTCAAAAGGGATGATCTCGGCTGCAAGTGCGGGAGTCCCTGGCGGACTTGCGACTTCTGCTGCTGGGGCTCCGAGCTGGCAGATGGCGTGTGGATTGAGGATTGGGATGCCGAACTTGCGAATGCTGTTGCAGCGGCCCAGGAGGCGGCAGGGCGACCAGTGGCCCGCGCGATGCTCGCGGCTTTGCGCTCGGGCAAGGACTTCCGCAGCTTCGACGTCTCGGAGGCGGCCATGGCGCGGCTGCTGGACTTGGCCATCCTCACCGGGGACGCGGACCTGGCCCAGCGCTGCGCCCAGCGCTGCACGCGCAGGCCTCTGCGGCGCTGGTGCTCTCAGGACTTCTTTGACAATTTAAGGCCATTTTTGCTACGTGCCTCAGCGCCAGATGTCACGGCGGCCGCCATCCTCTCCGGTGTGACCTTGCAAGAGCTCAGCGTCGAGTACCGTGGCCGTGAGCATGTTAACCACTACGTTGGGGACGTCTCTGTTGAATGTCCCATTCCTTTGCGCGAAGCCATTGCGCTCTGTGGCGACCTGCAGCTCTGGCAGCGCCTGAGCCCGCTGCTGCCAGAGCGCCAACGACCCTGGATCCCAAGGACGTGTGATGCAGGGTGGCTATTCTGCCTTCCCCTTTCGGATGGAAAGCACAAGCTGTGCCTGGACCGGCTCAGAACAGCCTCCCTGGCAAATCTGGCGCTCTCCGAGTTTGTCTTTGGCCAGAGCTCATTCCATACTTTCTGTGCTGCATGCCAATGTGGTGTAGGATCGCATCTATCTGCTCGGCCTCGCCTTCTGGACGTGGCTATTTTCCTTGGCCAATCGGCTTGCGCAGAGCTGCTGGCATCCTGCGCGGCCGCCTCTGCCACAGCGTGGACGCGCCAGGCTTGCTTGCCGGACGAGCAGTGTGATGACTGCGGAGAAGCTGCTGTTTGGGAAGTGTTTTGCGCCCGCACCTCGTCTCTGACTGAGCGCCGCGTTGCAGGCGGGGCCGCTCTGCGAGCAGCCCTCGCTCGCGCCCCGCGCCTGGCTGCTCCGATGGGGCTGGGCGTGTACCAGGTTTTGCTCGCCTGGGGCCGCGGCAAAGAGGTGCCAAGCGACTTGGTGAACATCGTCCTCTCTTTTGCTGCTGAGAGGCCTCAGATTGCTTGCGTGTTGGAGGGGCTTGAGGAGGAGCTCTTGCCGTCGGCAAGCCTTGTTCGAGAGCAGGAGCGCGTGGAGCCCTCAGAAGCACCGGAGCCTGCTGAAGCGCTGGCAGCACCCGATGTCGATATGGAGGGCGACTTGCTGAGCGGGGATGAGTCGGTGGTTGTGCAAGAGCAAGAGCATCCCTCAGAAGCCGTGATACCACAGGCTGCAGAATCACGTGCAGCCCCTGATGTCGAGACGGAAGGTGAGGAAGGGAAGTCCACCAACGACTTGCTGACGGCCGTTCGCAACAGCAGAAACGAAACGGTGCCTTTGAGCTCCGATGGCGTTGTCTGCTTCCGGCTCACGCGGAAGGCCAATGCTCCGCACGTCAACGAGCTGCTCTTCAACATTGAGGGTCCCTTAGCCGAGCTGCACCGGCGTGTGTTGGATGCGGGCTGCGAGGTGGCCCCGGAGTGGTCGCCCGTGAAGGCCCTCTTCGTGCCACTGACGCAGGCGCAGCTCCTGGAGTTCACTGGAGATGGACGCTTGGCTTGAAGTGCATGTCGCTGTGGTAGCTTGCGCAATGTGATTTTCAAGTTCCTTTGTGAATCGCGCCCTGCGAGACGTGTGATCACTTCAAACTCAGTGGCTTGTGCAGTATGCTTGCCTATTGTGTGCACGGAGGGTTAGGCCCAACAAAGGCAGCGCGTAATTACTTCAGACTCAGGTGTGGAGCTGGGCAAGGAGCACATCTTGGCCTTGCAGTCGGACGGCCCCCTGCTGGAGCAGGCCATCCGCAGCCTCAGGAAGAAGAACCGCCCTCGCCTTCGCCCTTCAGTCCATGGGGATGACGATGATCAGGAGGACGAGGATGAGGCCGTGATCGAGGTGGAGATGTCGGGGCTCCGCACCGACTCCAACGTGGGCTTCCCCATCTACCAGGCGTGATTCAACCGCAGGATGTACAGATATGCACAGCAGCAGATCCTGCCTGCCTCTTCACTGTGATTTTGGAACCCCGCAAGATTTGCATGCGGCATGGGGCTTGAGCTACTTGTAGCTGATTGCTAGCATCACAGGGTCTGAGTCGAGACGGTTTCAGAGCCACTGGTAAAGGCATAGCGCAACGATGTATAGTGTGTTTGCTTTGTGTAGCTGTGCTGAGCCCCAGTGCCCGGAATCCCACATTGGCTTCTACACTTTACTTGGCTGCCAGGGTCTTGTTCGCCTTTGCGTCGGGTAAATGCCTGTAGGGCTACGGCTGCGGTGCCTTGAATGCGCGTGGCTTCAATTTGTGAGGATGCCTTGTACAGCTGAAAATTTTAGCGAAGCCACGAAAGCTGGCTTGATTCATACCGACTGAAGCTTCCTACTTCACAACACCTCCCAGCGAAGCCAGGGTCTTGTTCGCCTTGGCACCAAGCCGCAAGAGAGAAGTGCCAGGGAAGCAGCTGCCAGTCTCAAAATGGCTGTGTTTGCCTTCAGGGTGTCTCGGAGCATGGGAATGGGTGCCTGAATCATCCCTAAGTTAAAGGGCGCTGAGAAGCTCGAAATGCATGTGTCCTTGTGGCTAGGGCCAATGCATGAATTTAAGCTTGAATACTAGATGCCAGATACACCAAGAACACGTTTTATAACATGGCACAGCAAGTGTAGTAGTCGCAGTCCATTGGTAATAAGTCGCCCTTTCAATGTTTTGTAGGTCCAGCACCCACGCGCCTCCACAGGAGGTTGATTCTGATACCCCGAAAAACGATAATCTGGGTTGCTGTTAAGGAACTTAAATTAAGTTACCATAATGGGTATATATAGTAAATAATAGGATTTAATAGGGTTCCCCCAATATAGTAACATGTTCCTTAACAGCAACCCAGTCTTATGGGGACCCCAAAAAGGCACCTCTGATTTTGGGAAACCTTGAGCCCTAAATCGAAATCCCTAAACCCTATGTATATTCCCTTTATATACCCCTATATAACCCCTATAAACCCCCCCTTTAAAGGGACCCCCCAAGTTTTGGGAAATCCCCCAAAAAGCCCCACCTTGCAGGTGATGCTGATGCCAGCATGGCTTTCTATGGAGTTGCCCAGCAGCCGCAAGGCCAGGAGGGAAGGAGGGATTTAGGGTTTAGAGTTTGGGGTTTAGGGTCTAGGGTTTTAAGTCTCAGGGTTTATAAGGGCTTTGGGTTTCGGGCTTGAGGTTGCGGGATTTAGGGTTTGGGTTTAGAGTAGGGTTTAGTAACAGGACGGCCCATGCTAGGGGCCTGTAGTTCCAACCTTACTTTCAAAAGATTGGGAACCCTAAGCCCCTAAACCCCTGAACCCTAAAGCCTAAGCTCCTAAACCCTAAATCCCAAAACCCTAAACCCCTAAGTCCCAAAACCCTGAAGCAATCAGCGCCAAGCCTGCTCTCTCCCAGTTGCTGCGCCAGCCAGACGAGCTGACGCAGCACAGTCTACCATTTCAAAAGACGATAGTTGTCAAAATTGGGTTTGGGGTGTAGGGTTTAGGGTGTAGGGTACACTAAAATGCGATGATCGCTATTAATGATGGGACCTTCAATGGGGTATACATAATTTTAGGAAACCCCTACCTGGCTGCAGGCAACACAAGGAGGAGTGCGAAGATTGTGGAGCGGTTTAGGGTTTAGGGTTTAACTGGTTCTTCGCAGGGAACCCCTGTATAATACCTATAGAATACATTCCTTTATTCCCCAGAAACACCCCAGACCTTGAACCCCTTAACACCTTAACCCCCCAGTTTAGGGTTTGGCTTCTCCAAGACGAGCCGACGGCCCCTAAACCCTAAACCCTAAACTCTAAACTCTAAACCCTAAACCTTCTTCTGGTCTTTCCACTGCGTATCCCCTCTGCTCCAGTGATGCTGAGCAGTTTACGGGTAGTCCCTCAGCGCGTTTGATGAGATGTGCACCAACAACTTCGGTGGGGGTCCCCACAATACGGATTATAGTATATTGGGGTCTATATTGGGGTACCCTAATTTTGGGAAACTACTCAACGAACTTCCTGCTAGACGAAAAACGCGTGGTGTAATGTGTGGTTTGAGTCTGTTTGACGTTGCTGTTGTTGCTGTGGTCCCCTGATACGGTGGATACGAAACGTCTGCATGACCCACCCCGCATACCTAAAACCTTGGGAATTATGGTATTGAAGCCTTCGAATGTCATGCAGGATTTTTCATATCAACCCCAATCCAGGTATTGCAAAATGTAAGTAAAGCAATTTGGAAATTTTGTTCCTTCAGTGCATGTTACTGTCCAGTATGTAATTTAATAGTGTTTCGTTATTCAATTGTAGCTGTTTCTATTTGTAACTCTCATGCTGGTCGTGCTTGTTGGTTTCCATAAATATCAGGCCCTTAAAACATCAGCCATAGTCTAAACTCCTAGTATCCCCCTCAATAACCCCTACAGTGGTCCCCTATATAATCCCCTATGTAACCCTTGTTAAAGGAGTTTCGACTGTAGTTCACATTGGTTTTAACAATGTGAGGGTTTGAAAAAGTGGGGCCCATTGTTGGAAACTCTTTATTTGGGTATGAAACAACATACAGATATACATGCCTTGAACTCCCAAGTAGTTGCAACGCTGCAAGCCTTCATCTTTCTGATGCTCACTGGGGAAAAGGGGGAGTGGATGCCTGTATAGCGATAAAATACCGTCTATATTCGTCTGCCTCTGGATGCCGATAGACTTACTACAAGGTGTTTAGGGTTTAGAGTTTAGGGTTTAGGGCCCTTATTGTCCGTTCCACTTCCCTTTTAAGCACCAGTAAGTCATTGAAGTATCAAACTTGGTTTGTAAAACCCGCAGACTGCAGGTGCTGATCATGCTGGCTGACATGCAATGCCCCCGAAATTGCTTGGGCCACAGTGCCTGGAAAGGGAGGGGGACCATTTTCTTTTGGCGTTTAGGGTTGGTGAATGCAGTCTCATCGGTAGTTTTAGTAGGCTGGATCATATAGTCCCCTGAAGTAGATAAAATATGGCTTTGGGTATATTACAATCAGATCCCCATATTCCCCATATTCTATCTACTTAATGGGGACTATACGTAGTAGTCTCCGTAGACCGGGTGACCCAAGGCAGGTCGCGGAATGCTCCCACGGTCTTAGGGTTTACGGCTTAGGGACTCCTAATAACTGAAAAATACAAGTCATACAACCTATAGTCTAAACTTCTAGTATCCCCCTTAATAGCCCCTATATGATCCCCTATATGCTCCCCTGTATAAGCCCCTTTAAGGAGTTCAGACTATATCTCATAAGAACTATAGGCACCACCTAGGTATTTATCACCCAAGTTCTAGCCTTCCACGGACCTCCAATGGGCAGACTGTGAACACTAAACACTTAACCCAAAAAACCCTAAAACCCTTATCCCTAAAACCCTTATCCCTAAGCCTTAAACCCCAAACCCTAAAACCCTTATCCCTAAACCCTAAACCCTAAAACCCTTATCCCTAAACCTTAAACCCTAAACCTTAAAACCCTTATCCTAGGAGGCCACCCTGGACCATGCCGCCTCCACAAAGCTAAGGGTTTAGGGTTTAGGATTTAGGGTTCAGCATTCAGGGTTTAGGGTTTAGGATTTAGGGTGTAAGCCTTCGGGATAGAGGTTTAGGATTTATGGGTAGGGTTGGTCTAAGGTTTAGGGCTCAGGATCGATGATTGTATCTACATGAACTTGAGTTATATCATTGTTCTTTTGTGAGTGTGTCTACGGTTCCCCCGCTTAAGATTTTTTTGGGTGAATATATCTGGTGTGTGTGTGTGTTTTTTTTTTTTGTTGGGGGGAGGGG